CAACTCGGCGAGTCTACGCGTTTTTACCAACTCTCAAGAATTTTCCCTTTGACTCGACGAGTACTCCCCCGACTCGACGAGTTCCATCTGGACCTGAATCGCAGGGCCACCGCGACTCAACTCGCCGAGTCGAAGGTCAACTCGGCGAGTCCCAACCTGACTCGGTCCACCTGTCAAATCCTTTCCAACTCTCTGCGACTCACTGAGTCGCCCACAACTCGGTCCGGACTACACACAGGATGGTCTCAAGGACAATCTTCAAGCGACTCGTCGAGTCTGTTCTTCAGACTCGGCGAGTCCATGCCATGCACCAGCTAAAACTGGCTTTTGCGGTCAGATCCGTTCCATACATACATAGATCTGGCCTTCCCAAGCTTATTTGTCACGTAAAGTCTTAGTCTTGGTTGCCATGCAATGCATACAAGGCTTACTTTGAAGAAACAACCACTTATTTGGCAAGTTTAGCTTCTAACTCAAAGGAATGGACATAAAGCTTGTCATGAGGGGTCTCCTGGACCTGCTTAAGTCCAGATCTAGGTTCCATGTCTCCATGGGGCCTCTCATACTTCTTATTCAAGCCAAGAAATGCAAGAAGAAACCCTAGATTTGGCCCATCAACACAAAACACGAAGATTGGCTCAGAAAATTACCTCAAGAAGACCCCCTTGATGAAATAGCAACAGATCTAAGCTCCCCAACACTTCAAGCTTGCTCCTCTCCCTCCTTTCCTTGCAATATCACACAAAATGATGAACAAAAGGCCTTCAAACACACTCACAAGGGCTTACAGACGTATGGAGGCTCTTAGGGTTCAAGGTGGCCGCATATAAGGGCCATAAGGTCCTTTAAATAGGGCTTAGGACCGGGAAATTAGGGTTTCATCAAACAGCGCGGACTCGCCGAGTCCATCCCTTGGACTCGCCGAGTTCGGATGCGAACCCCCGCTCAAAAACGTGACCCGACTCGGCGAGTCAAAGGTCAACTCGCCGAGTCCCCTCACAGAATGACAAAAATATATGAAATGAAGATACCTGGGGATTCGGGCTGTTACAAATCTCCCCCACATGTATGAAATTATTTTATTAATGCAATGGATGATGTTGTTGCTTGTTTACTACTATTCATTGTTGTGATACTGTACATGACATCCTCCGCCCCAGAATGTTTCCATCATTCATGGTTTTGGGGTGTGACATGTACTTCGACGGGATGGTTTGTATGCAGCTATGAAGAAATGTGTGTTTATGGTTCCTAAAGTCTTGTTCTTGGGGTACGTTGTTTCTGGGGAAGGAATACAGGTGGACGAGTGTAAAGTAGCAGCTGTGAGACAATGGCCAAGTCCAACTACCATCACTGAAGTTTGAAGCTTTCCTGTCCTTGCTTCATTCTATAGGAGGTTTATTCCAAACTTTAGTTCTATTGTGGCACTGGTGACTAATTGTATGAAAGGGAAGACCTTTACCTGGACCGAAGCAGCAAAATTAGCTTTCCAATTAGTAAAAGAGAAGCTTACTACATCACCGATTCTTGTATTGCCATACTTTTCTCAAGTGTTTTAATTACACATGGATGCTTCCAAGGTTGGGATTTGAGCAGTTCTAAGTCAAGGAGGACGACCGGTTGCCTATTTTAGTGAGAAGTTGACGGGGCCAAAACTGCGTTATAGCACTTATAATGTTGAGTTCTATGCAGTGGTCCAAGCTGTAAAGCATTGGCGCCATTATCTATTTCATAAGGAATTTGTTTTGTTCAAAGATCATGATTCATTAAGACATATTCACAGTCAAGATAAGGTGTCACACAAACATGGGAGGTGAATGTCGTTCTTGAAAAAAAATCACTTTCGTGGTGAAACACAAGTCTGGGATATCAAATCGGGTGGCAGATGCATTGAGTCGGAGGAGTAATTTGCTAGTTTCCATGAGGGTTGGTGTGCCGGGGATGGATGTCCTCACGAAGCAGCTAACGGTTGATCCTTATTTTTCTGTTGTTCTGCAGGGTATACAATCTGGACAGACATCTGATTTTCTACTGCATGAAGGTTTTCTTTTCAAAGGCAATCAATTGTGCATCCCTGACTCTAGTCTCCGCCTTCAAATCATTAGGGAGTTGCATGGTGAAGGGCATGTCAGCTGAGATCGCACTTTACAATTGGTACAATCATCTTATTTTTGGCCTACAATGCGCAAGGAGGTGGATAGATATGTTAAACGGTGTCGAATGTATCAGGTCTCAAAGGGCACATCTACCAATGCAGGACTCTATATCCTTTTCCTATTCCATCACAACCTTGAGTAGACATCAACATGGATTTTGTGTTGGGTTTACCACGTACTCAATGGAGAAATGATTCAATATTTGTGGTTGTTGATTGTTTTTCTAAGATGGTCCACTTTATTCTTTGCAAAAAGACGACAGATGCAGTTAATGTGGCCCAGTAGTTCTTTCGAGACGTCTACCGTTTGCATGGATTGCCATCTTCTATTGTATCAGATCGAGACACTAGGTTTTTGAGTCATTTTTGGTACAGCCTATGGAAAATGGTGAACACTCAGCTCAATTTTAGTAGTTCATATCATCCATAAACGGATAGCCAAACAGAGGTTGGCAATCGATCCCTTGGTAATATTTTGCGGTGTTTAGTGGGTGATCATGTGAAGACCTGGGATCAGAAGCTTTGTCAAGCTGAGTTTTCTCATAATCAGGTTATCAACCGAAGTACTGGATATAGTCCATTCCAGGTGGTCTATTCTGTTCAGCCACGGGGACCACTAGATTTGATGTCACTGCCTGTTTCTAGGGTTATTCCAAAGAAAGTGCAGGATTTTGTTGGAGGACTGCATGATGTTGATAAGGTTGTTCATGACAAATTGGTCCGAGCTAACTCCAAGTACAAGCAAGATGCAGATAAAAAACGCAGACAAGTTGATTTTGAAGTAGGTGACTTTGTTTGGGCTGTTTTGTCTAAAGATCATTTTTCGGTTGGTGAGTACAACAAGATGTCAGCTAAGAAGATTAGACCAGTGGGGATTGTGGAGAAGATTAATTCCAATGCTTACCGTCTACAGTTGCCAAGCCACGTTCGTTGTTCTGATGTTTTCAATGTAAAGCATTTGCTTCCTTATTATGGGGATTCTTCTGATGATGACCATGGTGCACATTCAAAGTCAAATTTTGTCTACCCAAGAGGGGATGACGTGGGCCCTAGTTTGGAGGATCGGGCCCTTGCGTTCCTAGAGGCCCACGATCGTGTGACTAAAGGGGCTTCACGGAAATGGCCATAACTTTGGCTACGAATCTCTGTTTCGGGCCTACAACCAGTCAAATCGAAGCTTGGAGCAAGGAGCACGTCTAGATAAGTTCCTAAAGGGGACTTACCCATTTTTGAGTCCAGAAATCGCTTTCTAAATGGAGTTATGAACAATTTTGTTATTTTTCCTTAATTTTTGGGTTTGTTTTTGGCCCATGGACTTTTAGGGTTTCATTTTAATTTCTGCTTCTTATTTAACTGTTTTTGATGTAATTTGGATGGTCGATCATCAATTTTATGAACTTTCGATTTTCTCCCAAATTCTGTGTGTTAACCCAGAGTTTGAAGCCAATCCCACGGTATTCGTAGAATCAACGTGGTTTTGAAGAGCTTGTCCTGGCTATTTTTTTAGAATCAACAGGTTCATTCTTGGTTATCTTTGTGTTGTTTTTTTGCGCTGCATCAAAGGGGTTCTAGAAGATTCATAACCTTTCCCCTGATATCACAATAATAATAGGTCTTGAGGTGACGACCTCAACCTATGTATTAGCAAGGTCTTGAGGTGACGACCTCAGACTATGTATTGGTAGCTACACCATAAAATACAGTCCTCAGCAACAACTAACATTGCACAACATAACTCATTAAGCTTAATTAAACACATGAGCCAACAGAGAATAGCTCAATAATAAGGACTATGCAACGTCAGAAGCACACAAACCCTAGAACAAGGGAGTGTGCAATATAATAGCATGTCCTTAATGAAATCACAGGACAAATCATAATATATGTGTTAACTTGCCACAACAATGTGTATAAATACAAAAAGGAAATGGAAGAGAACACTTCCATACAAAGTACAAAATAAAGTACAGAGTTTACAGCGGCTGACATTCTTTACTATACACATAAAAATTACGAAGGCAACTACAAATGTCAACCCTCAAAATATGAGGAAGAACCTCCCGGATTTGGCCTTCCACAAAGCTGGTAGAAGTCATTATAATCCAGCTCCCCCAAGCAAAATAGGCCCACAAAATTCGTCTCAGCCAGGGACAATACGACAACATCCACCTTTTCAACTCTTCTTGTAACACGGCCAGAACTTGGGACTTCAGGTTCCCCGACACTTGCAGAGAGACCACCCAGTCATTTCCCTTTGCAAACGTAACGGCTTCATGCGCCTCACAAACACCCCGAATCCTACTGGCGAGTTATGTGCTCTCAATGACCTTATTAATTATGTGAACCACCCCCTTCTCAAGCATCCACTATAAATTACCTCACGCAACTAGTCCATCCACACGAGCACGGGTGAGTTGATGTTGGAACCTAGCTAATTTACTCGCTAGTACGTCTTTCTCCCGGATAAGAGAACTCACTTGGTCCTCGAGTCGCTCAGATCAGTCCCCAAGGTGGCCACTTAATACTCTAAAGCGGCCTTCTTGCCGATTACAATGCAGTTCGGTTCAGCAAGAACTTGGCGCTCCGCCTCCTTCATGCCTACCAAGGCACCCTGTAATACTTTCAACTACCTCTGATTCACACCATGATGGTGAACCCGATCGACAGCAATAACCATAAGGGAAGAAGTCGAGGCCACAGTGTAACAAAGGTCACCAGCCATGTGAGCACTTGATTGAACCGCAAGCGAACTCAATGTGGATGGAGTTTGAGCTCACCTACTCCACTAATGGGAAGTAGTGTCCTCCGACAGCAAGGAATCTATGGTAATCGACCGTCTCAGAGTCTAGCCCTCAAAAGATAGGGAGTGAGATGAATTCCTAGTTCCATCGATCATAGAAGGCTTCCTACGTTGACAGGAATCTTCAGGTGAACCTGATGCACCCCCATGCATAGAGCTAAAATCAGGAATAACCAAGGAAGAACCAACGATTCGTGATGGTGACGCCCTCGGAGAGCTAGGCACCACCACTATCTCTTTCTGCCCAAGCATAGAAAATTGACCCTTGAGAATACCTCCATTATCGCCAAGAAGCCTGGCCACAGATACAGTCCTACGGGCTTTACGAGGGCGAAGACTCGCATCATTGGATTCTATCTTCTCACCCGATGAGGACACCACACGCAAACTATGCCTCTTTTAAATATGAGCACTATATCTTCCTAATTGTGCTCCCATAGGGAAACCAAAAGGAACGGAAATTCGAAACGAACTGGGGAATCAATGGTCGGCTGGGTAGGCATCATAGGCCCGCTAGAACCTACATTTCCCTTTTCCACCAAGGGCAGTCCAACAAGCTCTCTCATGCATCTTTCAGATACATGAGGAGTAAGAGTCTCTATAAGATCGATCTCACGATGTCAAAGCTTTCACTGATAGTGACCACGCCGGGCCATCTCCAATGAAATCTCGACCTCAGCACCTGTGAAAACAAACACCAACAGTAAGATCCCACAAGCCAAAAATATATCTTATCCTCACTCTGATTTCAAAAATGGATGGGGGGAGAAGGAGATGAGTTTATACCACATCTCACGATGAACATTTGTGCCATAATCCAGTGAGCCCTCCAGATAACACTCACACCGACCTCTACAAGAATGATATCTTCCCAGTTCCTCCTAACGATAGTGATGTTTCCTAGATACTTGCAGAGAGTTAGATTGCACCCAAACAACTTGGGGAGATGATCATAAAAGTTTTGGGTTCTACGAGACCTCCGCCCCATAAGGTTTTGATTAACCTGAAGCCACTGATGTTACCAATTTTTTTCGGAGCGTCTTGTTCAAAGATCAACTGACAAATGCCTCTTCTCTTTGCTAAAGTGCGGACCCCAAAATTCATAATTGAACATTATATGTAACTGAAAACCCCAAAAGTTGGTATATAACCCAGAGAGCGACAAATGATTTCAAAACCGATGATTTTATTAATAGCGCTCGGGGTCAACTCATTGACGAAAAGACCAAAGTGGTCCACGATCATGTTGAAGAAATCGGATGTCGGCAAGCGCAACCCCGCCTTAAATAGGGGGATCGAAACCCCTACCTTCTCTTGAGGGAGACCGTAGATTGACACCCCATTTGCCAGAATTATTACTCCATGCTCTGCTAAGAAACCGAAGCGATCTTGCAAAAATGTGAACTCCTTAGCAGTAGGGACTTTACCGTAACAGTCCATTTTCAAGAAAAAGGATGAACAATCGAAGAGAAAATTAACAAGATATCCGGATTGATACAACAAATCTAAAATAGGGATGTGAGGATGAAGAGTATGGGAGAAAAAAGTAGGTTTTAAAGGTGAAATCGGCATCAAGAACCATCTCTCAATGGTACTGACAAACATTAACGGCGCTACCTAAAGCCTGTCAAATGATAAAACTAATCACGGGCATGCCCATGTTGAGATATAAACTCGAATGGAGACACTGTCAAACTAACGCATATACCTACGAGTCTAAGGGACTTGTTAACGTATCCCTTAGGGGAATGTCAAGAAATAAGTCAAACTAACACCGGTCTTTGCCTGGTCAGAACCTAGTCTAAAGCCAAGTCCGGTCCTTCGCCAACGCGAAGAGTGCTGGTCTGGTGGTTAAGGTGCAGAACCGCGCCTTAACCCCTTCCCAGGAAGTTACAACCCAGTAAATGTGGGACCAATCATAGAGTCCCACACGTCCATTAGACGATATCCATGATCTTCATAAACATTTATAAGATCCCCTCCCAGACAATGAAGGAATGAGGCAAAAGATGTGACGAAGGACCTGCCAATATGGATCCGCCACGTTGCACCTGAAGAGGGAATCTTCAAAATAATCGGTTGAAAAGACGTCCCAAAATACAGGTATAAAAGGATCCTTCTTCCTTATTAGGAAGGGAACGGAATTCTCTCTTTCCTGTAATGTTCTACCATCTTTCTTAGATCTCATACAGACTTGATCGTCAGAGCTTCATCCCGGGAACTCCTCCTGAACATTAATTAACGGTCGTTTCTCTATTTAGTATTATGATAACAGGAGAAGATACTCATAAGGATCCTTCCTGCAGTTCCGCACATATCCTCTCCGACATATCGCAACAGTATCTGGCTTATCTGTTTTAAAGTGTAGTTGTTTGCAACGTCAATTGGTGATAGTTTAAACCCAAGTGGAGCAGAACCAGATATGTGAGACTTTAATTCAAGATGAGAGTGCAGAGCAAGTTGTCATCAGATTAAATGTGCTTGGAATTACATGAGTTGTCTTCACGCCAGGACACTATTGGTCAAGGAGCTCATTGTAGCCAGTGGTCCCCTTTCGGGAAAGCCGATGAACTATTCAATAGGTGGTTAGGTCCCTCTGGTCAAGCATCAACTATTGAAGGATTTGTTAGCTCGAGTTAAATTGCTACTATAGTCCAAGATAAGCAGTGGTTGATCTGTCAATCAACATTTGGTTTGGGTATAGGTAGTTCTGCATGGGTTCAGTTTAGTGGAAAAAACATTGGATCACTTGGTTATTATCAGTACATTCTCGATCATTGATTTTCCTCGTTCATTGTCAATAGTTGGGATGCTTCAAAGTTGATGATCCGCATACGTTGGAGTCCAATGGACACAAAAACTTATCATCATAATCTGTTTATGGTATATCATGGCTTCAAGGTACGTTTGCCTTAATTTGCTCGATTATGGAATTATTGTTTATAGCATACTCGGGTTTGATACAATAGTAATTAGAGCAATGAAGTAAATATCTATCTATTTCAAATTGTGGGTATTTTGGTTTCCTTGTCATCAATTGGGATTGTAAAAGGATGTGGAATTGTATCAAGGGAAGGTACTTTGGATACAGAAATCTTTCATCAAGAGTAGTAAAGTGCTTAATTTGGTTTGGGGCGTGGGCACCCAATATCGTTTGCTCTTGTGATCTTAGTCCATTAAGCTCAGTGTGATGGTGATTGGGGAGGAATATTTTGTGATGGCTATGTAATCTAGTGATTAAGAGGTTATCAGGGTAGAGACGAATCCAAGTGAGGGATGGTCACTAAGGATTGTCGAGATAGTTCCAATTGTGAGCCATTTTAGAATTTGTGCCCATGTCATGGATTTGGATTGGTATATCTAGAGGGAGCGCCAGGTTTCCTTGATGTTATTATGAATCCAAGATAGGTCAGGACTATGAGTGTCGAAAATACTACTGTTTGGTCGGCGGGACCTTGAATGGCTAATCGGGTGGTGCAGATAAGATATTTTTTATTAAGGATTAACTTGGAAGGATAGCCAACATGTTATCATCCCAAGTCAACTAGAGAGCTAGTTATGGTTGTGAGAGAGTTTAGGATTAATCAAGGAATAGGTTTCTTTGGTCAGTGGTGAGCATCGGAGAAAATGATATGGATTCATGGCTAGGTATGGGTTGAGGGTTGTGTTAGGACATTTGTGCATGTTCTTGTCTGGTTAAGGCTTTGGGGTCTAAAGCATGACCCAATCACACGATAAAGTTCGGTAGGAAGAGTTTTTAACTCGCAGTGTTTTCATTTAGTATGTATTTGTGGAAATGATGTAAGACTACAGAGTAGCCATATAATTTACTAGGATAGAATGTGGTTGTGGAAGTGTTGTAAGACTGTAGAGTAGTTGTAGCAGTCACTAGGTGCGTAGGTGGTTGTAAGAGTGATAGAAGTCTATAACTTGGTTCATGGCATTCTCTAGGATGATTTAGATCATTAGAAGTTTGGGTGAAGGGTCTTGAGTGGGGCTCAACATTTGTAATACTTAGTAAAATCATAGGCTAGGTTGGTGATGAATGTGACGTGAGAACTCGGTTCAGTTTGTAGTGATCAATGGGGTAAAGAGGACATGGTAATCATTCGTGCAATGGTTGATTGACTTGTACTTCATCCAGAGTGAATGGCTTATGAATTCGTGTTGGCAGATAGGTTAGGACCTCCCGTACTTGTTCAATTTTGGAGTCTAGATATGATATTGTTTTCGATCAGGATTTTCAGTACCGGTAAGTGGTTGTGGTGTTTATGTTTTTGGTATCCTTAAATTTGTTTAGAACCGATAGGTTTGTGTTGTTCGAGTTATGAAGTTGAGTCATTGTGGGAATGTTTTCGAAAGGTTATGTTTGTATGAGATTCAGACATCAATTAGGGTTTTTAGTTTCAAGCGTAGCGGTTGGACACTCGTTGACCTAGGGCAAAGTTTAGGCTCATTTTTTGTTAGGGATTGTGATTGTTGGTTGGCAACTAACAAGTTAAGCACTTCAGATAAATTTCAAAACAAAATTCGGTGAACTTGCGGAAATAAAACTTATGAAAATGTAAATCAAGTGAAGACAATATTTAATGTGGTTCGGTCAAGGTGACCTACATCCATGGGGGAAAACGAGAGAGAGTGAGAGTGTGAGAGAGAGAGAGAGAGAGAAAGAGAGAGAGACAGAGACAGAGACAGAGACAGAGGATTTTTATTAACTTCCAAGAACAAATACAATCACACAAAAAGTTTACACCTCACTTGAGCTCTCAAAAACAAATAATCATTCTTGCTTACTAACTTCTCTAAAGGAGTGCTCTCAACCTCAACCTCACATACAATGATGGAAATATGATTCTATTTACACTTGAGGGATAACACCTAAAACCCTAATGGGCTAAGCCCATTGGCCCATGAATGGTGACAACCAATCATATCCTTGCATGCAGCATCTTCTAGAACATTCTTCCTTGTTATCCAATCCATGAGCATCAAGAACAAATATGATGGAGAGCCTTTAGCCATAGTGGAGAATCATGATGTACAAGTGGCGTACCATGAACACTAATGGCCTAACATCCATCATGGTCACAAGATGGTGTAATCCTTGAGCAATAGCAACTTCTGAGCATCCTTAAATGATCTTGAGGATCATAGGGAACTTCATATCATACTTTGCTCATCAAGGATACCATGGATCATCAGAGAACCAAAATGACTCATATTTCACCATGATGGCAAAACATGTGCAAGGATGGTGCAACATGCTTCAAGTATGGCACAAGAACATCAAGATTGGAGCAATAACACCACTATGGATCAACATGAACATGCATGGAGTAACATGGCAATGCATGGCGTAATAACATACCTCATGGTGCAAGGGGATGGTCATGGAATAAGAGGAACCCCTCATGGCGCAAGAGGGAGCATTATGGCACAAGAAGAAATGCTTATGGCACAACAACATCCTTCTTGGCCCATGCGTTTAACATATGGTGCAAAAAGGTCCCATCATTGCTTGATGTCACTCCCAAGTTCACCAAACCTCTTACAGGTGCTCCAAACCCCTTTTATATGATCTATTCTTTGGCACTTGATCCATTCCTTTGTCAGATGATCCATTCCTTTCTCAGATGATTCGTTCCTTTTTCACATGCTCTATGAACCTGAAGTGCTCCATTGTGTTCTAAGTGCTCCAAATGAACTTAAAATGTCCATCCAAGTGTTCCACTTAATTCTAAGTGTTCCATGTTGCACAAGACTTCATACCTCAACAATCTCTCACTTGAAGGCTTGAACAACTTCATTTGCCATTCAAAGTCTTCATCATTCTCTCAATCTATCTATCTATCTATATATATATATATATATATATATATATATATATATATATATATATATCTTTCTCTCTCTCTATGCCAACCCCATCCTCAAAATCTTGTAAGGGCAGATGAAGCCATGCTTGGCTTCAACTTTTTATTGATAAAC